GTTCTTTCGCCCTAGCAGCTGCGTGAGTGGTACTCTCGGTACTGTCGCCGCCGCCGTGGTGCTGTGGGAGCTGGAGGTGCTACTGGAGCTGGAGCTGAGGGCGCTGAGCCTACTGGGGTTGGTGTTGCTGCTGACCCTGGGGTTGGCGCTGGAGGTGCTGGAGCCACTGGTCCTGGAGGTGCTCGTACTGGCGGTACTGGAGCTGCTGGGACTGGGGGTGATACTGGAGCTGCTGGAGCTGGTCCTGCTGGAGGTGCTGCTGGTGCTGCTGGAGGTACTGGAGCTGCTGGAGCTGCTGGTGGTGCTGCTGGTGCTGGGGCTGGTGCTGCTGGAGGTACTGGTGCTGCTGGAGGTGCTGCTAGTGCTGGTCCTGCTGGAGGTGCTGCTGGTGCTGCTGGTGCTGCTGGAGGTACTGGAGCTGCTGGTGGTGCTGAGCGAGTTGGAGCTGCTGCTGGAGGTTCTGGTGCTGTCTCTGCTGGTTCTGGGGGCACTTCACGGCCACAGCCGTACTTCGTTCCCCTCCTTCAGCAGGTTCTTGGTCAGCCGCCTCCTCCTTGTCCTGCTCCCTCCTTAGAGTGTCCTCCGCCTGTCCAGTCGCTGTCACAGCTACCGCCTGCCTCGCCACTCCCTGGTCCTTTTCCCTACACTGGTCTGACAGGCGGACTTACGGAGCGTCGTGAGCCAGAGTCTCGTCCTGTGTCGCCTGAGTCTCGGTCTGCGTCACCTGTTCGTGCTGCTCGCACTGGTCGTCGTGTCCCGCGTCAGCGTCCTCCTGCTGTCCCAGGCACTCACCAGATGGCGCTTCGTCCTTCCACTGCTCCACAGCGTGTCCCGCTGCCTTCTCCTCCTGCGTCCTCTCTTCCTGCCCTTGCTGACCCGGAGTCTGACTCTCTTCGTGCTGCTAGTCCTACTGTCACGCGTCTCCTGGCCACTGCTGTCACTGACCCTTCCTTTGAGTCAGCTGCTGCGTCTGCCTTAGTTGCTGAGCTTGTCGACTTTGCTGCTCACTGTCGTCTAGAATACGCTGCGAGTCTTGTTGCTGAGTCTGAGTCTGTCTGTCCTCCGTCCGTCGGGGGTGAGTGTGCTCTTGGCACGGACGTCCTTGAGGACAGGCAGGAGGACCTTGAGTGTCTTGCAGCCGCTGCGCCTCATCTCGTGTCCATGCTGCTTGCCCCTGAGGGAGACCCGGATGGTCCAGACATCCCGACTCCGCGCTCTTACGCTGAGGCGATCGCGGGTGAGTACTCCTCTCAGTGGCAGACAGCCATGGACGCAGAGATGGCATCCTGGAAGTCCACAGGCACCTACGTCGACGAGGTTCCCCCTCTTGGGGCGAACATCGTCAGTGGCATGTGGATTTTCAGGGTGAAGCGGCCGCCAGGTTCTCCGCCTATCTTTAAGGCTCGTTACGTTGCTCGAGACTTCAGTCAGCGGGAGGGAGTCGACTTCTTCCAGACCTTCTCCCCCACCCCGAAGATGACCACTCTTCGGGTGCTACTGCACGTTGCCGCTCAGCGGGACTACGAGCTTCACTCTCTTGACTTCAGCACAGCTTTCTTGCAGAGCAGCCTGCACGAGGAGATCTGGCTGCGCCGCCCTCCTGGCTTCACTGGGTCGTTCCCTCCTGGTACCCAGTGGAGCCTCCGGCGGCCGGTCTACGGTCTCCGCCAGGCGCCACGTGAGTGGCACGACACACTGAGGACTACACTCGCGGCTCTTGGGTTCGCGCCTTCTACTGCTGACCCGTCGCTGTTTCTGCGCACCGACACTTCGCTGCCGCCGTTCTACATCCTCGTGTACGTCGACGACTTGGTCTTTGCCACTGCTGACACTGAGGCTCTCGCTCTGGTGAAGTCGGAGCTGCAGAAGAGACACACGTGCACAGACCTGGGTGAACTGCGCAGCTACCTTGGCTTGCAGATCACCCGGGACAGAGCACGCCGCACCATCACACTGACTCAGTCACACATGGTGCAGCAGGTCCTTCAGCGCTTCGGCTTCACCTGGTCCTCGGCACAGGCCACTCCTCTGGCTACAGGTCACTCGCTCTCAGCTCCACCTTCGGACGAGTCCGTAGAGCCGAGTGGTCCTTACCCAGAGCTAGTTGGCTGTCTCATGTACCTGATGACTTGCACTCGTCCTGACCTCGCGTACCCTCTTGGCCTTCTGGCTCGCTACGTGGCTCCTGGTCGGCACCGAAAGGTGCACATGGATGCTGCTAAGAGGGTACTGCGCTACTTGTGCATTACATGGGGCATGGGACTCGTGCTTGGAGGGAGGAGCTCAGTTGTCCTCATTGGGCACTCAGACGCTTCTTGGGTTGACGACCAGGCTACTCAGCGGTCGTCACAGGGTTACACCTTCAGCCTTGGCTCTGGTTCAGTTTCTTGGCGTTCTACACGTTCGTCTTCAGTTCTCAGCTCCAGATGTGAGGCTGAGATCTACGCCACAGCCATGGCTGCACAGGAGTTACGCTGGCTCACCTACCTGCTGACTGACTTGGGAGAGCGGCCTCGTTCTCCTCCAGTGCTGTACGTAGACAACAAGGCTACCATTGCCTTGTGTGAGGAGCACAGACTGGAGCACAGAACGAAGCACATCGCTCTGCGTTACTTCCTGGCTCGAGAGTTGCAGCAGCGTGGTCAGCTTCGTCTGCGTTACGTGGCCACTCGGGCCAACACTGCTGATATATTCACCAAGGCACTTCAGTCTGGTGATCATCAGCGTTTCTGCACTATGCTAGGGCTTGTGCCCACTTTTCCTCACTTGCTGTAGGCTTTGCTTGTACTGTGATCTATATATATATACATACCTGCATGCTTGCTTTGCTAGGTAGAGATCACTGTGCTGTTTGTGTTGCATATATGCCTCCGCATGTGGACTGGCCTTGTGGCCCTTTGCTTGTGCTCAGAGTGTGTGGTGATGTTGTGATCCACCCTGAGCTTGCTTTGCCTTTCTTGACTGGTCTTGTGACCCCTTGCTCTCCCCCACTTTGCCTATGGGGGTGTGTCAAATGTTATATCTGCTACTGTTTGTTTGTTTTGACCGAGGGTCCCCGTGTGGCCTGAGAGCCGTCTCCCAGGGGGGGACGGGGACCGAGGGTCCCCGTGTGGCCTGAGAGCCGTCCCCCAGGGGGGCAAGGGGACCGAAGGTCCCCGTGTGGCCTGAGAGCCGTCCCCCAGGGGGGGAAGGGGACCGAGGGTCCCCGTGTGGCCTGAGAGCCGTCCCCCAGGGGAGGGAAGGGGACCGAGGGTCCTAGCGTGGCCTGAGAGCCGTCCCCCAGGGGGGAAGAGACTCGAAGGTCCACACGTTGGCCTTACCGTAAAATGGGCAAAAATTTCGAACAATGTGCTCGTTTGTATGACTGGATCATCCTTGGTTTTTTATGTACCCCATTTACTTTTTAATATGACCAATAAAGGCTGGTTGGAGCCCCACTGAAATCTCGGGAAGCAACTGTTCGAGTGCACCTCAAGTTGGTTTTAAAATCTTGACTTGACTCAAGTTGGTGTTCACACACTTGTAAACCACATTCCGTGTTTTTCCAAATAAGGGCAATGACAATGGGATCGGTTTTCGCCATCATTCTCATCCCACTTTGTTCGATAACACCCGACAGGGAAGCAAAAGTACGCGTTGAAACGACTTGCATGCTGTCACCTGAATGGGCGTTTGGGAGTAAAAGGCGGCAATTGTGTGACCGTTCCTACCCAGCCAACATGACGAATACCATACTCACCCGACTACCACTTCAAACCCTTACATCCACCCACGTTGTAGTTATTCCGGCCGGAACATCAAACGACTGGAAGTGTAGGGTAAAGCAGAGCACATGGAAGCTAAATCTCAAGATAGAAGTTGTACCATACATTGGGCGTGTAGAGTACGGGAACCACCAGTTTCAACCACTATCCTGGTGCACAAACAACCAGGGACATCCACATCAACAGCACGAGCAACCTTCGCGCACAGCACCTCGGACGCCATCGACATGGAGCCCACGACTCACCAACGCCGCCCCTCCCGGCATTTCGTCAATGTCATCAACCGCAACTACACTCACCATGTCTCCGAAGACCCAATTGTAATGAAGCCAGTTGCCTTTGCAAGAACAGAAAGCAAGCTTTCTCGATATGAAAATTTTCGAAAGTGTGTAACACTTTCTAAAAATGCGTATTGTGAAAGCGCAGCTGCCTGTAACGAAGCAAAGCAACGGCGAATTACAATTCGCCGAGTACATAACGAGGGTTGGAGGCCATTCGGCCTCCACCCACGACTTCATTTCATAACTTTGCAGTTTCACTCCCCACCCACCCACCCTAGTTGTACCAATATTTGTATGATCCATAGTTGGACGAGAATGTTGTATTACTGCAATTGTAATGAAGCCAGTTGCCTTTGCAAGAACAGAAAGCAAGCTTTCTCAATTTGACTAAACAAATATCGTGTACTGTTCGCATGGGTGCAAGGCCCTGGGCACGAGCCCGACCGGGCCCTCGACAGTGGCAAAAACTGGAGTGCAGTGATGTGATTACGGCACAACTCTGCACAGCAGAAACTATAGAGATGCAATAGATTCCTTGCACCAACCATACTGCAAACTCACACAGGTGCAAGCTCACATGGGTGTAAACCCTCGAGCACGAGCTGTTCCAAGGCCCTTGCTAGGATTTTGGTCAGTCTGAAAAAAATGTAGAAAAAAATGTTTTGTCTGAAGGAAAGATGAGCAGCCTTGAGTGGTCTGCATTTTCAGACGAAACAGTGGCCCTTGTCTGATTTTTAAGCCGAATCATAAATACTTGTCTAAGTTTGCTGACTTGTATTTTTTTACCTTTGTAAAGTGAGGTAGCAACAGGAGTGCAGCAATCAGGAATCTAACCCTGACCTTCGCCAGAAGGATCGAAAAACCAAAGGACTGATCGATAACCCTAAACCTGCATTCAATGTAGTGACATGTGTTCTGCACACTTCCTGTCAAATGTGACTGTAGACATTACAACTCACACGGGTGCAAGCCCCTGGGCACGAGCTGTACCCTCTACAACGGCATTCACTGTAGCGGCATGTTTGCTGCGCACTTCCGCGCAGCAGATACTGTTCATGTTGTCGAGCCACACGTGCAGGCTCGGGCGCTGCCACTCCGAACCTCGGCCCTGCCTGGATCGGATGTACTGCTTGGTGGTGCAGTCTGGGTGGTGGGGGGATGGGAAGGGAAGGAACGGGAAGGAGGAAGCGGGAAGGAGGGAGAATGGAGGAAGATAGGAAAAAAGAGGGATAGAAGCCCTGCCTGGACCGGATATACTGCTTGGTGGTGCAGTCTGGGTGGTGGGGGATGAAGGAGGAAAAAGGGAGGGGAATCAGGGAGTGAAGGTGGCCTTGCCTGGATCGGATGTACTGCTTGGTGGTGCAGTCTGGGTGGTGGAGGGGGGGTGGAAGCAGGGCGGGGAGTGGGGGAGGTAGGGACAGAGTTGAGGAGGAAAGGGAAGGAAGAGGAGCCCAACTTTTGAGTCGACTCAGAAGGGGAGTGGGGGGTGGGGTAGGGGCAAAGTTGAGGAGGAAAGGGAAGGAAGAGGAGCCCAACTTTTGAGTCGACTCAGAAGGGGAGTGGGGGGGGGGGGGGGGTAGGGGCAAAGTTGAGGAGGAAAGGGAAAGAAGAGGAGCCCTTGCCTGGATAGGAGTCTGGGGGCGAGGAGGAATAGAAGGGGATAGAAGGTGCTTATTGCAGAGCAGGAAGAGGAGGAGAAAGAGGAGGAGAGCACACGTACAAAATCTTACGCAAATTAGCTAGTTTTTTCTATAGCAACTGTCTTTCCTTTGCTGAACTTTCTCCTACGCTGCTGATCGCTGGAACATGTCTCAAGATGTGCGAGCAGGAGGAAGAGGAGGAGAGCACACGTACCACAGGGAAGGATGGTGCCGTGCATGACGGCAAAGAAGAAGAGCAGCGAGGTGTAGAAGTAGGCGAGGGGGGTGGACGGGAGAGGAGGTGTGTGTGCTTACAGCAGAGCAGCAAGGTGGCAGCCAGAGGGGTAGAAGGGAGAGGAGGATAGGTGTGCATGCATAGGTGCGTACCACAGGGCAGGATGGTGCCGTGCATGACAGCAAAGAAGAAGAGCAGCGATGCGTGGAAGTAGGCAAGGGGTAGAGACGGGTAGACAGGAGAGGAGGGGATGTGTGATACCTTAGGGGAGAAGGGGGCACACGTACCACACAGAAGGATGGTGCCGTGCATGACAGCAAAGAAGAAGAGCAGCGAGGTGTAGAAGTAGGCGAGGGCGAGCAGCATGAGGAAGAACACATACACCTCCTGCTCGCTTAGGCCCCTGGGGTGGGGGAGGTGGGACGTGAGGAGGAGGTGGGACGTGAGGGGGAGGTGGGACGTGAGGGGGAGGTGGGATGTGGGGGAGATGGGATGTGGGGGAGGTGGGATGTGGGGGAGGTGGGACGAGGTCAAATAGCATGAGAAAGAACACATACACCTCCTGCTCGCTCAGATGAGACCCCTGGGCAAGATATGGGAGAGATGGTGAGGAAAGGTGGGAATTTTGACTCGAAACCTGGGTCATATGCAGGGAGACTGGGTTATAGGATCACACTCATCTAAGGCATCAAACTCACTTACAATTGCACACTCATGTAAAGTATCACACAAACTTATTAAAAAAACACGCCCATTTTAGAGCTGCACTCATTTCATGTCACATTTTTACTAAGGCATCATACTCACTCGATAACATCACTCACTCAATAGCATCACACTCACTCGATAGCATCACACTCACTCGATAGCATCACATTCACTCGATAGCATCACACTCACTCGATAGCATCACACCCACTCGATAGCATCACACTCACTCGATAGCATCACACTCACTCAATAGCAAACCACACTCACTCGATAGCATCACACTCACTCGATAGCATCACACTCACTCGATAGCATCACACTCACTCAATAGCATCACACTCACTCGATAGCATCACACTCACTCGATAGCATCACACTCACTCGATAGCATCACACTCACTCGTTAGCATCACACTCACTCGATAGCATCACACTCACTCGATAGCATCACACTCACTCGATAGCATCACACTCACTCGATAGCATCACACTCACTCGATAGCATCACACTCACTTGTCCCAGTCCTCCTTGAGTCGCAAAACAGTCGCATAGAGCAGCCAAGTGAAACTTCTCTCAACAGTCGCACTGATTTGATCAAGCACCCAAATGAAAGTACCGCCCATCACCATAACACTCACTTGTCCCAGTCCTCCTCCTTGAGCCGCAGAACAGTCGCATAAAGCAGCAGGCCTGACGCCTGTTGTTGGGGAACACGGACAGACGAGCGGAAGGAGAGGGAGAGGAGAGGAGGGGAGGGAGAGAGGGAGGGGCGGGAGAGAGGGAGGAGAGCAATGGTACGGAGGCGTATGAAGAACGGTCTTGTAGAGCAGCAGGCCTGACGCCTGTTGTTGGGGAACACGGACAGACGAGCGGAAGGAGAGGGAGAGGAGGGAGAGGAGAGTGGGGAGAGGAGGAATAGGAGAGGAGGGAGAGTAGAGGAGGGAGAGGAGAGGAGAGAGAGGAAGGAGAGGAGAGGAAGGAGAGGAGAGGAAGGAAAGGAATGACAAGGAGCAATTTGTAGAACGGTTCCATATGGCAGCAGGCCTAATGCATGTTGTTGGGAATATTTTGAGGCGCCTCAAAATACACCTCACTGCACGCGGGTTCCATATGGCAGCAGGCCTAATGCATGTTGTTGGGAACAACACGGAGGGGAGGGGACGAGGAAGGAATAAATATCACTTTCTAGGCTCTAGGGTGTTGCGGGGAGCCGGGAATAGGGAGAGGGGAAGGCAGCATGCGCATGGGCTGGAAGTGTGCTAGAAAGGTTTGGGTGCCTTACCCGATCAGCCTACCTGCCTGTCCTACCAGCGAGGCAGAGAAGAGGAAGGCAGTGAAGGAGTGGTGTGTCAGCATATTGCCATGCCACCACCCATGCCACCACCACCCATACCACCACCCATACTACCACCACCCATGCCACCACCCATGCCACCACCACCCATACTACCACCACCCATGTCACCACCACCCATACCACCACCCATACCACCACAACCCCCGGCCTACCAGCAAGGCAGAGAACAGGAACCCAGTGAGGAAGCGGTGGTTCTTGTGTGCGACACACGTGGTGGGGTGGGGCGAGTGCAGAAAGCATATGTGGTGTGGTCTAGTGCGTGTGGCCTGGGGAATTCAAGTATACCAAGTATCCTTACCAGAAAGGTGCACTACCACAACCCCTGGCCTACCAGGGAAGCCGAGAAGAGGAATCCGGAGAAGAAGCGGTGGTTCTTGCAAGCGAGCCACACACGTGGGGTGGGGCGTGTGTATGGAGCAGAGCAGCATCCATGCATGTGTGGTACTCAGCTTGAGAGTAACTATCAGGGGCGCTTCGCCATACCACCATTCTTACCATGGCCCCCGGCTTACCAGCGAGGCGGAGAAGAGGAAGCCGGTGAAGAAGCGGTGGTTCTTGCGAGCCACACACGTGCCCACCGCCCCACAGTGATGGTCGAAGCGCTGCCAGCAGTGAAATATGGGGGGGAAGGGGGGAGGGGGGGATGGGGTGGGGGTGAGGAGTGCAGGTAAAAAGTGGAAGAGAGGGAGGGATTTAGAAAGTGAAGAAGCAGTGATGATAACTGGTGCATAGCTGGTGGTCACCAAATAATACACATGTTGCTGCAGTAGCACTGGGTAATCCACCGGTTTCTCCTGGGTACTCCAGTCCAGACAGCAAGAGAACCCACTTCCCACCTCCATGCAGGACCCAAAACGCGAGAAATGACTCGTTCTGGGCTGCCGCCACACACATATTACACGTGCTGCAGTATCGCTGGGTAATTTCCGACCGGCCGTCCAGCAGCAGCCGCTTCAACCATGCTACAGCAGTGCCAGTGCTACAGACAGTTTCATGCAGAAGGTGACTTGCAGTTACTGCAAGTGCCACTCTCACCTCCATGCAGAAGCCGCATCACGAGCAGTCGCTGGTCCGCGGCTGCCGCCACACGTTGCACGTGCTGCAGTATCGCTGGGTGATCTCCGATCGCCCATCCAGCAGCAGGCGTATCAAGGGGCGACAGCAGTGCGTGCTCTATTGGCCTATGATGCCTTACCTCCATACAAAAGCCGCACCGGGAGCAATGACTGGTACGCGGCTGGCGCCACACATTGCAGGTGCTGCAGTAGCGCTGGGTGATCTCCCACCGCCCGTCCAGCAGCAGGCGCTACTACAGCCATGCTACAACCCTGCTGGTGCAGCATCTCATCTCACGCCTTACCTCCATGCAAAATCCACATCGGGAGCAATGACTAGTGCGCGGCTGGCGCCACACATTGCACGTGCTGCAGTAGCGCTGGGTGATCTCCGACCGCCCGTCCAGCAGCAGGCGGCGGCGCGCCCACTGGCCATGCGAGTCAATCACGAGATCCGGGGATATTTGGCCCCTCTCTGCTGCCACTACTTCCGGGTCTGGTAGGGAACAAATCAACAGGAAGACAGAGGGCAGGAAGGGGGGGCTGGAAGGGGGGTAGGAAGCAGGCGGCGGCACGCCCACTGGCCGTGCGAGTCAATCATGAGATCCGGGGAGATCTGCCCCCTCTCTGCTGCCACTACTTCCGGGTCTGGAAGGGAGTAAACAACAGTGGCATAGAGAGCATGGAGACAGAGAGCAGGGGGGAATTGCAGGTAGAGGCTAGAGGCGCGCCCACTGGCCGTGCGAGTCGATGACTAGTTCAGGGGAGATCTGGCCCCTCTCTGCTGCTACTACTTCCGGGTCTGGAAAGGGAGAGAAGGGAGGAAAAAAAGGCAGAGTAGGAGCAGGGACAGCAGGGGGCAACTTTTCCCAAAAACTCAGGGGGGCGGAAAATCGCATGCCACCAACAGTGCGATGAACAGTTGCCCTGCCACCAGGATGGAATACGCCCTTAACATACCTTTAATCTCGGAGGGAGGGATGATCCCGGGGTCGATGTGCTGTACGAGGAAGAGGAAGAGCACGGAGAGAGGGGGATATGGGAGGAAAGAAGTAGAGGGGGGAAACGGAGACGGAGGGGGGTAGCGAAGGGCCGTGGGGAGGCTTACCTTTGATCTCGGAAGGAGGGATGATCCCAGGGTCGATGTGTTGCACGAGGAGGAGGAAGAGGAAGAGGTGGGACGCTGGGGAAAGGGGGAAGAGGAGCGGGAGGGGTAAAGGGCGGTGTAGGGTTGTAACTTCAACCATACCTTTAATCTCGGAGGGCGGGATGATCCCAGGGTCGATGTGTTGCACGAGGAAGAGGAAGAGCAGCGCCAGGAACACCGCAGCACTCACTACCGCGTACAGCACCGCCTGCAGGGTCGGGCTCGCCAAACCGGGGAGGCTGGCTCGGAACGAGGCGCAGCGGAATAGGTCCGGGCGAGAGTAGGGAGTAGGGGAAGAGGGGGCGGGTTGTGCGGGTGAGTGAAGTGAAAAGGGATGCCGAATGAATGGTTGGTGATTAAAGTGAAGGGATGCGGAATGACGAAGGATGGGCGGGTGTGTCGAGTCAACTCTACAAATCCTTAGCGAAACTCGCTGTAACGAGGTCGAGAAGCACAGTGCTGACGAGCACGAGAGGAAGGGAAGTAGTACTCAGTACTGCGACCTAACTTAGTACAAACACCTGAACGAGAGCGAGTCCTGACTTAGTACAAAGACGTACACGAAAGCGTTTAGTATAAACCTACACGAAAGCGAATCCCGCTACAGCGAGGCCGATAATGACGGCGACGATGACGCGGAAGCCCCAGAGGCTGTCGGACCACTTGATGCCGGGCCGCGCGTCGTACTTGGAGCTGCCGGGCCGCACCTGATACCGCTTGCTGGGGTCCATGGCTGCACTGTGCTGCTCGGTGCTATTCGGTGCTGCTCGGAGCTGCTCGGAGCTACTCGATGGTGCTCGGTGCTGCTAGGTCTAAGCCGCGGTAGTTGAAGAGAATGAACGCTTAACCTATGCAGGCTAATATTGAAGCATCTAAGAACGAGGATGCTTCTATCGAGACTGTTCGAGATGCGGTTCGAAGGCCAGCTGATTCTAAAACGCGACTAGTTAGCTTCGTTGACCGTGCCGCGCGACACGCTTATGTGATTATAGACACACATGCATTGGTGAGGGACGATGAAAACACTCCGCCGTAGTTTACGCTGGCTTTCACTGTACAATGAACCGACGGGAATGGAACACCACTCATGGAGGTCGGTTGTGTCGCAGACCGCTGAGAAACAGCGATTGAGAACTTGATGTTATTTCCGACTGACGGTTTGTGCGGGTAGGGAGGGGAAATGCCGTGAAGGGTGATTCTGAATACGAGTTCATGAAAACTGGGAGAGCAGGCGGTTTACACTTGGGTGGGCGACAGAACTGCGACTCTTCACGACTTTCTGAGTCAGGCTGTAACCACTGGCGAAAACAGAATGTGTGCTGGGGACGTGACTTGTTGCCAGACTATTCTGCGATAGTTTGCATATGAATTTCCAGGTTCTTGGAACTGCACCACCAGTCTTATCATATCAGGGTGCATTCCTAGCTCGTGTCTGACATCAGGTCAAACACGAAGTGGAGGACCGGAAGACCCGAAGTGGCTCAGAATAGGGGCAAAACAACATTCAGAGTAGGCAAATCAGAGACTAAGGGCCTATGACCTGATGTCAGACACGAGCTAGGAATCCACCCTCAGTGCTGACAACGAGCGTGTTGAGATAGGGCACTGAAAACTCTCTGGATTCTCTGGTTTCTTGGTTGGAGAAACCAAGGCTGGACCAAAACATTTTCGCAGGTAGCATGTGTGACTTTCAGGGCTGGTCTCAAAGGCTGGGTAAAAAGGTCACGGAAGTCCATTTGCCGCTGTTCTGAACAGCTGTTTCCGCGGGTTGGCACCTTTATGCTCCTCTTTAGTGAGATCCACTGTCTCTCATAATTCACAAAGAATTCAAGTATTTTCCAGCATGAGATAACATTCTCAATACCATCACAACTACTGCAAACCACCACTAGTTACTATGTTGAGTACTATAATCGTTGCTATTTCTTCATTACTCATGATTCGGCAGAGAATTCACGTTTATGACTTCGTACAGAAAATGCATTTGTCAACTGGGATGTGCATATCATTCCATGTTCATCATACAGGGATAAAATTACAGGCTCTGTCAATCAACCCTCTACTAAACACAGTACACAGGATGCTCAACGAATGCACGTGAATTTGATCTTTGCAAGCTCGACAGCCTGCCCAATTGCAAGTAGTATCAGCCAGTTGCACGCACGATACAAACCCCTATTTTGATCGCAGCCGTTGAACAGACAGCTTATCACGCTGGAATCCGTCCGTTCGTGAGATATTTTGAAGAAGCTGGTTACATTTCTTCAGCTGCCCACTACAGTCCCGATTTTTCCCGTGGCGAATGCTGGCGAGGAAGCGAAATAGGGTTGCTCACTAAACACTCAAACGACGGAAAAAGTTGTAGGAGTCAAACGCGCTTCCTGTGTACTGATGCCGCTTTCACACGAGCGACATCGGCTCTGCTTTTCATCCACATCGCCGCCACCTTCCCTCGTCATCCGACAAAAGGCACCCCAGAAGATGACAGAAACTGGAGCTGCAGCAGCATTTCTCCGTCAGGTGCATTTCTACGCTGGCCGTCAGGTGGCTTTTCTGGTGTCTGATTGGGGGGGACACAAGACATTGCAAGATTCAGGTCCAGCCCAGCAGTCAGGGAGGGCCCGCCTGCTGGGGTTCTCTCATCACAAGGAAAAGGACAACGCACGATTTTCGCGTGGATTTACAGACATCGCGCTTCGATTTGGGAGGGGACCACTCGTCGTCCCTCTTTCCTACAGTACCAGCTCTGCCCGCCCGCCCAGCCTTTTTCATTCGGCTTCTCAGTTCTTTTGCCCGGCCCAATTACAGGTTTCGGGTTTACTGTTAGTTTCATGGGCACAGAAAGTTAGTCCAGTCCAGCGTGAGGCGAGCTTATCCTCACTCTGTGTGATTTTTGCTGACCCAATTAGCTTGTTTGAGGTAATTTACACAGGAAAATAACAGCTTGTCTGGTTTGATGTGATGAAGATGCTTCGCCAAGGAACGAATGAGTGCACGTTCATCTCCCTACCTCTCCCAAACCAGCCACTTCACTACCCAAACCTAGCCCGAACCAAACCACTACACTCAGGAGAAACGCAGCTGCTGTTTACCAACTTAACTCCACCTGAAGCAGTGACTGCTGTGCTCTGTACACAAACAGCGCATCGACCTCCTCCGACCAAGCACCCCAATCAGTCACTCTTCCGCGTATCTTTTCGTACGGGCAAAATAACGTACGCAACTTGACCTACAGAGCAGAATCTGCAGCGCAGTTGAGAAGGATTCTCTGCATTCGGATACAGAACCCGACAACCACGTAACCATCTGGGGTTGAACCAACTCGGAATAGGCCCTCAGTTTGCTTTGAGGCTCTTCCAGATATCTTACAAGTTAGTATCCTAGACATCCTGAGTTAGCATCCTAGACTGGTGGTCCTTCTCGTCGCGCGACACATGGTGGACCCGACACCGACCATCCTACTCCCACCATTATGATTCGTGAGTCGTGAGTCGTGACCCTTGCGATTCGTGAGTCGGCAACTCACCCCTCTGGTTGACAGGAAATGGTTTGAATATGCGCGCCTGAAGCCTTTCGCTTCCCGCTCTTGGCCCACAAAATGGAGCCGAGGTGGCCGATGGCGCCTCGACATTTCATCCACCGTGATAGACGATACGCGGACGCTCGAATGGGATCGCGCTTTCCCCGCCTTCTCCTCCTCCCCCTCCTCCTCACCTCCCTTCTCCTCCCAGTCGCCTTCCTTACCGCCCCAGCAGCAGCGCAATCCACGCCGTATTCCACGCTCGGCGTACCGGTCGGGATTATCGCCGGCGGGGTGCACAACCCGCTGACGGGCGACATAAAAAACGTCGCATGGCAGGTGAACCTTCGCACGCGGCGCGAGATTGGAACGGTCGGTGCGGCGGATAGCGACGCGGACGCGTGGCGCGTGGACTGCAGCGTCGCAACGGACGGCGCTGCTTACGTCACTTCCACCACCTCGCGTCTCAACGTCGTGCGCTACACGACAGACGGGGCAGTATCGCAGCCGCCCGTGAATCTTCCGGCCGGATTTACGAGCACGACAACGGTACTCGGGGGACCTTCCGAGAACCTTCTCGTGGTGGCAGATGGGGGGGAGTCGGCAGGAGGGGCGGTCTCGGTGGATAGGACTCTGAAGACCGTTACGAAACTGGTGGGATCGGGTTACCAGTGCACGTCGGCGACATTCTGCTCTTCGCCGGCGGCGTCGCCGACAGATTTTCTCGTCCTGACTTGCCACGTCACCGCGGATGACTCTGACGTGGTTGTCACCGTCCCTATCGACCCTGCCACGGGTGCATTCCAAACCGACACCTCGTCGATTAAATACGTCTCAGCTTCATTCGCGATTCGTCAAGCGGCGTGTTCTCCGGGAGGCGGCTTCATAGCCCTACTCAGATACGATTCGAATATTCTCTACACCTACGCGCTTCCGCTGGCTGGAACCGCGCTTCCCGCGTCGCCACTCTCATCGACCACTCTTACCGCGGGCACCTCCTCGTCGTTAGTGATCGACTCCACTTATAAGAACGTCCTCGTTACAAGCACGTCGTCGTACAAGACGGGCGGAAACGGGCAGAGCTACCTCGGCACGCTTGACACCGTGCCTTATACCGAAGCCGGCGGGTGCGCTTCTACCGCGTCTGCCGGCGCGTTTCAATTCTTAACTGCCGGAACCTACGCGCGCTTAGCGCTCTACCCCGGAAGCTCCTTAGACGCCCCGGTGGCACTAATGGCTATCTGGGAGGGAGTTTATTCCTTGAAGCAAGCAGCAGACGGTGCGGTTCAGAGCGATACAGCTGGGTTTATTAACCTAGGCACGGCCGAGTCGGGTTATGATTTCTTCGCTACAGCCGTATGCGTGCAGAAGTTTGTAGCTTCCCCCTCCCCTCCGCCGCCTCCGCCGCCCTCGCCGCCTTCCCCTCCGCCCAATCCCCCGCCGCCGCCGTCTCCGCCTAAGCCACCTTCCCCGCCCAAGCCGCCCTCCCCTCCAAGGCCTCCCCCAAGCCCCCCAAAACCGCCGTCGCCTCCCCCGCAGCCTCCCCCTTCCCCGCCGCCGTCTCCGCCTTCCCCGCCCCCTAGTCCCCCGCTCCCACCGAGCCCCCCTCCGCCAAGCCCGCCACCTCGCCCTCCCCCGAACCCGCCCCCATCACCGCCCCCTCCCCCTCCCCCCAGACCTCCCCCAAACCCGCCACCATCCCCGCCCCCGCGCCCGCCCCCCAGGCCTCCCCCAAATCCGCCCCCATCCCCGCCCCCGCGCCCGCCCCCCAGACCTCCCCCACGCCCGCCCCCATCCCCACCTCCGAGCCCCCCTCCCAAACCTCCTCCACGCCCGCCCAAAAGCCCTCCGCCTAAACCGCCTCCGCGCCCACCCCCCAAGCCGCCGAAGAAGAAGACAAGAAAGGCTCTGGAAGTGGGCGGGTGGGCGGGAGTGGGGGGAGTGGGGTTGAGTAACAGGCGAAAGTCTCCTCCGCTCCCTGCAGTTATGACGGAGTGGGAGAGTGGAAAGGCGCTTATGCGTCCGTTGCAGTTGCCTGGTAAGTGATTCTAAACTGTCGCAGGGTGTACTCATTGTCATTCATGTGATGGTAAAGGTACTTGGTTGTTGCACTTGTACTTTCCCGCTCCCATTTCCCCCATTTTCTTTTTCCTCGCACCCATCTTGTCCCCCTACATTTTCGTCTCATTTTCTGCATATTCCGCGCACCTCCAGCTTTCCTGCTGGTGCTTCCTCTTATCGTCCCAATCCTTAATTGACCCTTCCCCATCCCCTCCATGATCCATCCCTCCCACCCTTCCTCCCACCATTCCTCCCACCCCACCCATCTCCATCCTCTTCCTGCCTCTCTTCTTTCCCGTTCGTTTGCCTCCTTCCCTCATCCCTTCCCACCTCGCCTCCCACTCTCACCATGCCTGCTCCAAAGTTGCCTCTGTTCTCACCTCATGGCTTTCTCATTGCAGTCCCCCCTGCACACCAGCCCCCCATGTTCATCAATGTTTGGCTCAAAATGCACAGAATGGCAACTGAAGTGACTTTCACGCTTCATTCTGATACTGCATTTCCATCTTAACACACTTGCATTTTCATCCTCTTGTTCTGCTGTTTTTGTGCAGGAAACCTATGACCCAAGGCTGCCTTGGTTTTGCACAGAATGTAGTAGTAGCCTTTCACTAGAACCTCTACAAATCTGTTCTGTGATTCAGTCTGCAGCAGTTGCTTTGCTATCAACAATTCACACATAGGTATGTCAATAATTGATCCCAGTTGTTTACTTCCTTTCTCTAACAATGCGTTCGTATGCAAATGTTAGAATCCACGTATATTTTGAATCTTGATTCAAGCAGGCAGATTCTTGCCTCGATGCAGTTAGATGCGACAGAAGAAGCAACAAAAGTCACCCCAAATCCTCAGATTCTGTACCCGAACCAATTCTTCACCAGATCCTGCCAGCTCTAGCATTCCGTTCCGTTGCGTGTACACGCTCGGGGGCTTGATCGCATGAGGGGTAAACCAAACCAAACAGCAATTCCCGCGTTCACGTTTGCGAGTTTTCCCCCTTTCTCCAGACGGCCTCCCCCGAGCTAGACCAAATGAATCCTCTGCGGAGCCAGCTTTGGGTGAGGGGGAGAAGGGGGGAGGGAGGGATTCGCCAATCTCGCCATGGTTCGGCAGCGAGTGAGCACTGAGATGCTCCCTGCCACGTCTGTTTGCCGGTTGGAGAAGATAATGTACACCTGGGGCCACTCGTGGCGGGAAATGGTGTTCTGTCAGGTATGGGAAGGAAAGCCCTCGGCTCGGATTGCAAGTGGTGGGTCCCGAATTTTGTCACAGATTTTCACATGTTATACTGTCGTGCCCGGATTCTAAATTTCTTGATTTTGCGTTGTTGCCGTGCGGTGATCTGAAGCTGATTCACGGCCAAATTTCGTGTGCATTTGCATTTTATTACGTGTATTTCGAGATTTCTGAAAGCAGAAAGATGAACCTGTATCCGTAGCAAATCACGTGCGGCAGCATTCCAATCTCCAAATCCAAATTATATCGTTTGACTCCAAAGAGGCGGTCAAATTGTCATCTGGTCTGCCGAACGCGCCTGGGTGCTGTAGCTTTGCTGCGGAACCGAAGCCAGCTAGCCCCCCGAACCCAGCTGTGCCACTCGCGCAGCCGCATGTCCACTTGAACCAAACCAAACCTCATCCATTCTTTCGTCGGTTCGGCACGGCAAACAACAAATCTGTTCGGGCTTGCGGTGCGGCTTCTTGGCAAGGGAAGGGAAGGGAAGGCGCATTACGGAGTGCCAAGGGGAAATGCCTACCGTGGCGGTGTTCGCCAGCAACTCAGAAAACGACGGCATTTTGGCGGCATCGGCATGGTGACCGCATCCGGAACCGGGGTCGAAACCCGCCCAAGAGGTCTGGGCGTAATGCGGTCCGCGAAACTTCAATCCCCAAAACAGGATATTTCACAACCGCATATGGAACCCCCAGCCCCACCTTCCTCATCTAGTGGCGCGAATTTTACGCGCCACTGACCAGTGCCAGACCGAGGGCCAAATACGAACTAGGGTAACAAGCTCCAAAAAAAAAACTAATATCAAATACAACCCCCGAGACCCCTCGAACTCAATCCGATTTAGACCAAGTCATGCGCGGGGGTCACTACGAAGGTGTGTTCGGGAGGGGAAAAATGGGGGGTATTCGAACCCGCCTTTGTCAAACAACAGGCTTATTCAGAGGTTCCCCTCTGAACGGCAATGCGACGGCTGTGCCATCGCTGTGCTTCGAAAAACGCGGCATGGCGATGGCATGGCTTGGGGATAGAACTTTGCCTGAGGACGAAGTTGCGTCCCCGCTTCCATAAGCCATCGAGCAGTTTGTTTTGGTGGACAAATGGGGGCGTTCGCCAGACACCCACTTTTATTGTAGGTCTGGACGTTGGGGAGGCTCGGCACCTTATTTACGGGCTGACCAGGCTGACGGAGGTAAACGAACCCTAACTGACGGGATCAGGAAGGCGAGACCCACCTTCCTGATCCCGTCATTATCCCATGGTTTTTTGCTTCATTGGTGCTGGCGAACACCGCCCGTGTGTGCAGTGCATTGGCAGACGGAGCCGCCATAAAACATGGGAACAGTTCGCCTTTCCCCCTCGTCCTTCCCTTGCCTATTCATCCACCCTCCGCCGCTGCCTTTATGGTGCTTTATGAGGTTCATCAATAGACGGGAAAGTATGAAGTCAAGCAGTAGCGCCTTTCTCTGATTCCAAGCTCAGCGTTGCGTTTGAGTCTACTGGGTGGTGGAGCTCCCGATTATATCGTAACCTCCGAGCTTTGGTACCTGCTAGGAGCAAAGCCTACTCACTAGTACCGACTCGAACTCTCCCCGCAGCAGCGTCCGCCTGCGGTAGCCATGTCGAAGCACTACCGCGCCATCCGCAGCTTCTTGCCCACCGCAACGGCGGTCGGAAAGCTCCTCTCGCGGCAGACCTCTCAGGAGATTGTCCTAGGTGGCAGCATCGGCATTCCTCTATCAGAGGCCGCCTCGCTCGTGCCGCGTAGTAATACTATCGCTCAGTCATCTCTCGGCGCGCTTCGCCCCAGCGGCTCCGCGATTTCCGCCACGCCTTCCGCCGGGTCCGCATCATCCGCCGCGCCTTCCGCGACCGCATTGTCCCCAGCGAAATCCTCTTTCCGGAGATGTCACGATCACTCCTGCTCCCAGTCTCTCCCTCCTGCAGCAACACCCTACTACCCGTCATCCACCTCTCTACCGACAGCCTCTCCTGCTCCTGCCCGTGCCACCGCCAACGGAACCACCCGCGACGATCATCGCCGATTCGCCGAGCCGCACATGCCTGCCGTCCTTCCTGTCTTCGGCGTAGCTCGCCGATCTTTCCCGGGCCCCTCACCCCTCTCCAGAGGCATTCCCGGCTCCTGGTCCGATTCCGGACCCGCATTTTCAGCAAAGAGCGCATTTCCCGCCGCTATTCCCGCCGCTGTTTCCGCTGCGGACGCCGCCGCTGCCCCCACTCCACCCACGCAATGCGGGGTACTGCTTCGTCGTTGTTCGAGCTCTGCCACGGGTTCCGAGGTGACTTTTGAGTGGACTCAAAAGGCACGTTCATTTAGCTCTACCACGGGTTCCTGCGTTTCAGATGCAGAGTTCCTGCAGCATGATTGGATGCAACGAGCCGCGTGGATGCGGTTGGCCGCAGCGGGGGATGCGGGCAATGTCGCTGACGATGAGGCTGCTGCTGACGTGGCGGAACATGACTTCCGCGGGCGGAGGGAAGATGAGCTTGGCGACGGGGAGAAATGCACGGCGACCGCGGACGACGATAGCGCTCGTGACGCGTCGAATCGAACGGTCGAGGCGGATCGGACTGAACAGGGTAAAACCGCCGACCGTCGGAATGACGTGAGAGTAGCCAGCTCAGCAACGCGTTTCCTTCCAAAACCCCCAACAGCGTCAGGGACTAATTCCGGATCCGTTTTTAGCGGGGATGAGGACCCTGCGTACTGGGTGGACAGCACGCAGGCGTACCACAGCGCCGGATGGATCGGCAGCAACCAACATCGCCACCACGAGCCACGTCACGAGCGGTTACCTGCTGCTCATGCTCCCAATGACACGTGTCTGAGATCGTCACAAACGAGTCGTTCGTACCTGCACGATCATGGGACCAATGCAGCAGGGTGGTTGGATGACAGGGATTGCACGGCAGCAGAATCGTGGGTGAACGACAGCCGTCGATCGCTGGACGAGGTGTGGATGGACAGCGCACGATCGCGCATCCGCGACGCGGCGCTGCAGCTAGTAGAGGCGCAGCAAGCTGCGCTGGAGCACAGCAGAGTCGCTTCGGTGATGGAAGCCGCCATGCTGGAGAGGCAGACTAGCCTCGGGAGGCAGACTAGCCTCGGGAGGCAGACGAGCCTGGGGAGGAGTCCTGGGGAAAACGCTAAAGGCGGGAAAGTGAGGAAAAGTATGCTCTCGTGGTCGCCTCCTGCTAATGACGTGGGTGTGAGTAGGAGCACACGCAGCAGTCCGATGCGCAGGCTTGGTATGGGAGGTCGGGGAGTGGGAGCAGGTGGTGACAATGTGGGGGTTGCTTGTAACGGGGATGACGTTGACTTGGTGGCGCGGGCTGGAGGAATCTCGCCATTGGGAAGGGTCGGGATGATGTTCCGTTTAGGGAGTTCAAAAGGAGTAGTTTCAACAAGTTGCTAGCTATATTGATCAGCAACATAGTTGGCTATTGATAGTCCAAAATTTCCACGCAGTGCACGTGTGGCTATCTTCCAAATGGTTTTGCAGAAGTTTTATTAAATTATTGAACTATATTTAGCGCAATCACACTAGTGCCTAGCTTGTGATGCGAGTCAACAATACTACCAAGAAGATTGACGTCACAAGTAAATTGGTGTAGTCTCAGATTTATCATAACCCTTCTTCTTCCAGAACCTCGCTCGTCAAACCCTAGGCAGCCCAACCCACAGCACCAACTCTCAACAGAGTTTGCTCGTGTCGTGCTACCGTTGATTCCAGAGAGTGTCTTTGCTGTGACGCTGCTGGATTGTTTGTCCTTAGAGACACGGCGTCAAACTCGCTTCACTTATTAAACGACTCGCCGATTATACATAAAGCCGATGGCGCAGGCAGTGTCAGTCGCGTCGGGGTTGTCGCTCGTTGCAGCTCCTCAGGTTTCCCTCCAGAGCTCCGTCGCTGTTCGTTCAGGTAAGAAGTGTTTTGAAACTGGTTAGGAAGGAAAGCGTTTCGAGCAGAAGGTTCCTAGATAATTCAGTACACGATCGTCAGTTTCAAATGACTTCGATGCTGTCCTGAGAGCTGATAGGACGGATGTTTTGCTTTGGCAACTATTTTTGTTCGATCGTCATCTTGGTCTCGACGCGGTGCGAAACCGTTTCTGGGTCGACGTGACTTCAGTATCTTGTTAGTTCCGATACTGGAATCTCGGCGCTATGACATTGTTATCTGATTTTTCGCTCTCTAAGGGCCTATATCGAGAATAGTGTATATCCGCACCGCCGTCTGTCATTCGCTCTCCCGTTCTGCTCCCCATTTCTTCGTCCTTTTTTTCTGATTGTGAAAACTTTTCCGCCTATCTGGCGACCTGCATTCCGCCTTGGTGCTTTAACAGCCTGCTCCTTTCGTGCTGACTTTTGAGTCGACTTAAAAGTCGACTTCGTCCATTTTTCTGATCGTGAAAACTTTCCCGCCTGTCTGGTGACCTGCATCCACCTTTGTGATCTGGCAGCCTGCTCCGTTCGTGTGCCTTCCTTCTCCGCCACCCGCATCCACAGCGATGCCAAGGTACGTGCTCCCGTCAATTACCGCCGACAGGCTACCGCGATTTCATCACCGCCGTCAGTCACCACCCTCAGTTACTGCGTCAGTCATCGCCGTCAGTTACCTCCGTCAGCCACCGCGTCAGTCACAACCGTCAGTCACTGCCGTCAGTCACCGTCTTCCGTCTCCACAGCGATGTTAAGGTCGTCTTCGCTCGAATGAGGCTTTGCATTCCTCGCGCGAGCATCCTCGCGGTATGCCGCAGATTCGCTTGGAATCGACATCTCAAAATTTTCCAACCAACTGCCTATCTCATCACCTTCCGTTTCGATCCTCCTGACCCTTCCGTTCTCGGCCCCCTTCTCATGTTCTCACGTTCCTGGCTCACTTCCTATTTCCTTCCGTACCCTAGCATTCCTGTGCCACTCTCGTGCGTCACTACCTTTTGCACGCACTCGCCCACCTCCATCCATGTCCACAGCTTGCGTTCCGTTTCGATCCTCCTGACCCTCTCGTTCTCGAATCCCTCCCCATGACCTTCCGTGCTTTACCATTTCTTAGGCGCCTCGAAAGTCGCCTAAAAAACTCTACACCATTTGTTTCGATCCTCCCTTTCTCGGCTCTCTTCCAATTTCCTTCCGTGCTCCACCGTCCTACTCCTGGTCTTTACTACTTTCAACCCTCGCCCGTCTCCCCCGAATTTCTCCTTTCCGCCACCATCGGCAGTGGCGCGCAGTGACGTGTCAAGCCGTGGTCGTGGCTGCTGCTGACGGCGCACCTGCCCCGCCTGCGTGTGAGTTGTCGGCGATGCTTCTCAAAAGTGACGCTTTTTATTTTATTTTCTATTTGTCTTTCGTTTCTTCGTCTTCCACCCCGCTTTCACGACGACCTTACAACTCCTCCACCACTGTGTATCGACTCGTCTCACCTTGATCCTTTGTCCATGTCTTGTCCGCGTGATGCCCATTCCGCGTGATGCCCATTCGGCGTGGTGCCCATTCCGTGACCCCTTTGTGAGCAGTTGGCAAGGGTAACATTGTGCGGGTGGACAAGGAGTAGTACCTCTACAGCGTGGAGGTAAGTGTTTGCTCAGAGGGGGGGGTAAGAGAGCATTGGGGTTCGGAGAGGATGCGGGCAAAGAGGGTATCTGGGGTATGATGGCATCGGGGTTAAGAGGGCATTGGGGGAATTAGACCATGTGAGAGTGCATTGCGGGTATGAGAGCATTGACACTCCTCTCTCTCCTCTCGACCTCCTCTCTTCAATCCCCACCCTCCAGATTCCGCGCTCCTCTTTACCCTCTTCCTCTCCATCCGTCTCCCTCTATCCGCCGTCTTTGTCCTCGTCCCTCCATCTCTCTTTATCGGCACTCCTCTCCCTCCTCTTCCCCACCCCACCCCCCGCCCCCCCGCTCCCGTCGTCATTTCATCGCCATTCGTTTGTCAGTTCAAGGCAATGAAACGATCGTTCATCTTTATGCGCAGTCCCTCTCCAACCCTCCTCCTTCCCCCTCCCCCTCCCCCCTCCCCCTCCCCCTCCTCCTCCCCCTCCCCCTCCCCCTCCCCCTCCCCCTCCCCCTCCCCCTCCCCCTCCCCCTCCCCGTCCCTCCCGCCTTTCCGTACCCGCGTTCGCACATTTCCTTGTTGAGACGTCGCACAGCAGCCATCTCTTTCCACACTCCTTTAGCTAAGGCAGTGAACTGTCCGCCTTTCTCAATTGCCAAATTTCCCCTTCTCCCCTGCGTTTCGCCCCTCTTCCCTTTGTTTCCCCCTTTTTCCCCTGCGTGTCCCCCTTCTCCCCCCTGCGTTTCTCCCGCCCGCCCTTCTTTTCCCCCTTCCCCCCCCTCTCCCCTGCGTTTTCCCCCCCTCTGCCCTGCGTTTCCCCCCCTCTGCCCTTCGTTTCCCCCTCTCCCCCCTGCGTTTCCCCCCTTTCTTCCCTTCGTTTTCCCCCTTCTTCCCTGCCTTTCCCCCGTTTTCCCTGCATTTCCCCCCTCTCCCTCTTTCCCCCTTCCCCTCTTCCCTTTCTTTCCCGTATCCCTTTCTCCATTCCCTCCACCGTGCCTCCTTGCGCACTCCCACTGCGCCCACTCCTCCCTCCCCCACTTCCCCCACACCCACTCTCCCTCCTCCCTCTCCCCGCTCTCCCTCTCCCCGCTCTCCCTCTCCCCCATCGCCCGCTTCCCCTCTTCCCGCTCCCCCTGCTCCCGCTTCCCTCGCTCCTGCTCTCCTTCTCCCGTTCCCTCCCCGCCCACTCCCCGCTCCCCCACTCCCCTCCTGGCCCCCTGTTGCCCACTCCCGCTCGCACACGCTCCCTGCCAGTTCGAGGCAGTGGACCATCCGCCCTTCTTCACGGGACTGGACCACATCTACCAGGCCAGAGGCGAGGTGAGGCTTGAAAGGGTTACTTACCACATGTTACGTGGTAACCACTGTGTCGGTGGCACCCCATGCCACCATCCGCCCTTCTTCACGGGGCTGGACTACATCTACCAGGGCAGGGGCGAGGTGAGGCGGATGAGGAGGAAGGGTGGGGGAGGGTGGGGAAGGGGGGACGGGGGGTGAAGGGGGGCACTGGGGGTTAGGGGGCGCACGCCCCCGCTCCAGTTCAAGGCAGTGGGCCATCTTTCCTTCTTCACGGGGCTGGCTGGACTACGTCTACCAGGCCTGAGGCGAGGTGAGGCTCGGAAGGGTTTTTAGGGGTTATGTGGGATGCAGTGAGGTTGGTACTGGTTGCCACCATCCGCCCTTCTTCACGGGGCTGGACTACATCTACCAGGCCCGAGGCGAGGTGAGGCGCGGAAAGGTTACCAGGGGTTATGTGGGGTGTAATTGGTCTTGGTGACACTGCCATGCCACCATCCGCCCTTCTTTTCGGGGCTGGACTACATCTACCAGGCCAGAGGCGAGGTGAGGGGAAGGAGGAGGAAGGGTGGGGGGAGGGGAGAGGGTGGGAAAGGGGGATGGGGGGTGAGGGGCGCACTGGGGGGTGAGAGGCGCACTGGTAGTCTTTAAGACGTCTCGTTCTCTCCCTCTCTCCCCTTGTTCAGATCTTGGATCGTAAAGAATTCAGTGGCACGCAGTATGCGCTGGTAAGCAATAAATACTTCCAACGATGATTGCTTTTATATGTTGCTATTATTGTAAAATGATTGCTTTTATACGTTGAGTCCTGTCTACATCGGGTATGCATGTGTGCCGGGTCGCGTCTGTCCTGATGGTAAGCATTTGTTTTCTGGAATAAATCAAATATGCTCTGGGTTCATCAAATCAGCATGCTCATAGAAAATAGTGGCGTATGTGCTCTGGGTTCAAAAGCTTCCATGCATTTATTTCCTGCTGTTTTGCGTCTTTCTTTCTTTCTTTCTTTCTTTCTTTCCCACTAGCATGCTCATCAAGGTATGGATGGATGATGTGCCATGCATGGTTGGAAATATCTATGCTCCATGCATGGATGGATCAAGTGCCATGCATGGGTGGTATGTGCCATGCATGGGTGGTAGTATGTGCCATGCATGGATGGACTGAGCATGACTGGGTGGTATGTTCCATGCATGGATGGATCATGTACCATGCTTGTATGGTATGCGTGGTCTGTGCCATGAATGGGTATCAGCTACGCATGGGCTGTGCTATTTATCGTAATGTACAGATGTGTCGTGCTGTGGTGTGGCGTGATGGTAATGATGGGTGGCGAATTGTTTATACAATCAGTTGTGCAATATGGGGTTTGTGTGATGCATGGGAATGAGTCATGCCACACATGTTTTCTTTCTGAACCATATGATGCACCGTATGGGGCCAAAGGACGCATTTTGGTTGGCTTTTTTGCGTGTAATGATGTGGGTTATGTGCAAGCAATTTTTCTTTGATGTGTGGATATCGATCACAGGCATGGGGCTTTATGAAGTTTGTTTATTGACATTACCATGTGTTTTCCTGGTGTGGCATTTTCTGGCAGGCCCCCAAGCTGGAATACGTGAGGCCATAAATGCCCCTCAGTCAGTGCTCTTGCAGTTGTAACAACCTGCAATGCAGTTCTGGAAGTAATTATCTGATATATTTTTTGTGCTGTTGGCATGGGCTTGGTTTCGCTGTGGAGAAATCACAACTTTTGCTTTCTAAAAGAGGGTTGGCGGGTAGGATTGTCGCTTTGCACATTGCAAGGTCGAAAATGCAGATAAATCATCTTGGAATAAATTACTTCAGTACAAATGGTGCTTTCAGCACTAGATGGAAGTGATATTCTTGTCTAAGGTGTAGAATATGAATCTGCTGCTTTGTAACCTTCAAGCTCCTCTTTCGTGAAGGATGGAGCTGATTGCGGTAGGTTGAGGAGGTTCGCAAACGAACTCGTCCTTATCGCGGACGGCCACCTCCTTCGTTGCTTCCTCGGCGCGTACCCCTTCCCCGCATTTTTCGCCGGGGAAGCCGCAATCATCACGCTGAGATGCCTGTCATGTTCCGCGAAACGCTGCTGCGCTTCGACAAGCTCCAGCGCCGCGACTCGAATGCGGCATCGCGCGTCGTCCACCCACCCTGGATCGCAGGCGCGCGCCGCGTCCAGGCAGCCGCACAAGTGCTCCGAATTTCGAGAATCGTAGCTTGAAGCAAGGCCGACAGTAGAAGAGACACATAGGCAGCTAGAAACGAGTTCGTCATAACTGCCGGATGCGCTGCAGCTGCTGGCGTCGTTGTTGCTTGGATGATTAATGAACATGGTGGGTTCGCACGCGGAAGACGAATAGTAACTTCTCTCCGGAGACGAGACCGTCTCACAGGTGACCTGTGACGAAGCGTCATGGTCGTGGTCTGCGTCGTGTTCGTTGTCGTCGCTGCAGAAAACATCATGTCTTCCGCTGAGCTGCGCCTCCCGCGAAATTTCGAAATGAAATCGAGGCGCCGCTTCCGCCGCCGCAAGCTGAGAGCACGACGCGGACTCGCGGAGGCCGCCACCGGCGGCGGCGTCTCCGCGACTTCCTCTCGTACTTATACGAGTAGTAGACGTGGGGAAGAGCGGCTTCCATGATCCCATGACCATGCTCCTCATGAGGCGTGTCGGGGAGAAAGGTTGTTCCTTCATCGCGGAATGCTGCGACCTGGCAACGAAAACGCGTCTCACACTCACGACGGCGATTGGAGTGCGACCGCGTGACGCAACCCTGGTAGGAGACTTAACTCGGATCTAAGCCGCGGTGACCGATTACTGAGCAGGAACGGGGTTCTTCCGAAAATGCAATACTGATATGGTCTCGGCGAGACAGAGTCGTATTTATCGAGTACAGAGTTGTAGAGAGCTCGAATAAGGGGGGAAGGGTACCTTTGCGCAGATCCCGCGGGGAAGTCATTGCGGACTCGCGCAAGGCCACACCACAGTGCGGACCGCTGAGGCGCACGGGGTAAAAAAATCGCACAGTTCACTCAGATTCCGGATTTCGCGGGAACGCTGCTGCCACTTTGGAGAGGATCGAACGTGGCACGAAAGGGCAGGAAACTTCCCTGAGTGCACCGCGGGTCTGTATGTTGCCTTTCTCGGGGGAAAATGAGCTGTATGTAACGAGTTTCCTGAGTCAGATACGTTGTCCGAAGTGAGAATTTTCAGGACGAGAATCGTAATCGCAATCGCATCGATCGAGACTTAACAACGGCTGCTCGTTACTGGGTGGCAGCTTGCTGTAAAGTTTGGTGCCGGACACTGCCGTTGTCGCGTTGTATCCCTCGCTAAGGTGCGGGCGAGAATTTGCGAAGTGGAACGACAGTGGCGTGGCGGATAAGGAGAGGCTCTTCGTCATCTAGGGTCCTGCTGGAGATGAATGATTGGCGACAAAGGTTCACCACGTTAGCCGAGCCGAGACGAGTGACGAAGCGCATGAAGGAACCATTCAGGGGATAAGCTTGCAAAGCCCACTGGGGGTTCCCGTGTTCCAGTGGCACTGTCTTCTCCTTATCACTGCCTCGGTTGGTTTCTCCTAACGAAACAAGACACGAACGGTCACCGTTGGTGAGATGCGAACATAAAGTGAAGATTCGGGAAGCCAGGACCTATGGCTGCTGCTGCTCCTCTCAATGCTTGTGCCGCCCTTGCCAAGTGTGGTAAAGAGCTAGCGTTAGGAGGACACGTTACGAACTCAACACAGCCGAAGGGACTCCTTGGCGTTCCGATATGGGGCATTCATATGTGTAAGGAAAATCTCTTTTTCCTTACTTCGCATCCCTGCTCAACGCGTACATCACTGTAGCACCACAGTCAGCACCGTTACCACTCGCAATCCTCGCATCGACAATCCGCCCGCCACTTTCGCACGTCGCACCCCGACCTCACGGCTCGGCGGGTAACCCGCGCTCCGGGCCTCCGCTTCGACACTTTCCCCAACCTCAGTTCCAGGCCCGTCGCGCGACAACCACAGTCCATTACCGTTACCACTGTAGTTTCGCTATATATTCTTCGCCCATGCCTTCGCTCATTGTACTCTTGCTTCGATAGTGCAATTCTCGTTCGATCACTCAATTGCACTCGTAACACTTAGTATTCAGAGCCTACGATCTCTTCTCGGACCGCACCCACACCTTCGCTTCCCCACTATCTCAATTTTTTGGGGGGGGGTAGACGTCTCTCAGCGATACAGCACCGCCGCTCGTAGTGCCCTCTCGTAAGCACGCACGGCCACGACTGAGGCTCTCGCTGAGCTCGCCCGACACCCCCGCCCATGGCCGAATTCACGCTCGCCACATTGACGCAGGAGCAGCTCGACCGTCTGGTGCGCCAACTCGAAGATTCGGCGCTCGAAATTGCGACGCTCACAGCGGAACGTGACTCCGCGCGTCAGCAATCCACGGTGAACACTCCAGCAGCACCGCACGCACCAACAAATGCACCTGTGCAATCGGACGAGCCGATCGTCATCTCGTCCGGTACACCAACACAACACGACAGCATGGGACAGCGCTCGGGCGCAGCCAGTGATAGCGCCGCCCAACCAATGCCTGGCATGGGAGGAAACAGGGGCGCGCCAAGCCCGCGGGAGCCTCGCGAAGACTGTCGGCACGTGGAATTCGCAGCGACAAGTGGCGAACAGGCCTTCATGACACCAATGCCACTCAAGCCGCAACGCCCGCCCTGTTTTGACCCAAGCCAACGTGGAGGTCCGACGGTTCAATCGTGGGTCTTCACGATGAACGTTTTTTTCGACGCTGCTTTGCTTGCAACAGGCCGGGCCATCGCAAGAGCGAATGCCCAGAGGAGCTAAGGCGCCGCGGAGCAGAGCAGGGGAGGGAGTCTCAGAGGCAGGGAAACGCCAGCAGTCAGTAGAAGTTGGGCCAACTACTGACGAGACTGCCTGCTCGCCCAACCACACCGACCCTCACCGAGTCACAGTACCGATTCACGCCATCGATCGGGCTCGGATGAATAAGGAGGGTACATCGACGGATTGCCCAGTACTGATCCACGGGAAAATACAGGGAGCAGCAGTGAAGATTTTTATTGACGGAGGAGCAAGCCACAGTTTAGTTAATACCGCAACCGCACGAAAACTGCAACTGACACTTAGCCGTTGCTTACCGGAGATAGACGCACGCTTAGTTGACGGCACGCCGCTGGCCATACGGGAAAAGGTAGAGAGAGTCAAAGTCCGCTGCGGGGGGAATTTTGGGTTTACACAGGAAATGCTCGCAACAACGCTGGATGGGCACGACATTTTACTGGGGCGCGATTGGCTGCGACGGTATAACCCGCGAATTGACTGGACGACGAGTAGCTGCACCGTGCGAAGTAGTGGTAGCTGGGTCCAACTACCTCGCTGGCAGTCGCCCGAGTCTTCAACGGTGCACGTCAACGCCATCACAATGAAACGGGCTGTCGCTGCTGGAGCTGACGTGTACGCAGTAGATATCGCAGTAGTGGAGGAAGCAGAGCAGCCGAGCGATTTCAAGAAACTGCTGGAAGCTGTACCGCCCGAATTACAAGAACTGTTGAAACGGTACCCCAGGATTTTCCCCGACGACTTACCGGAAGGGTTGCCACCTCAGCGAGCACATGATCACCGAATCGAATTAGAACCAGGGGCACAGCCAACCGTACAGCGCCAGTTCAGACTGACATAGCCCGAGCTCGACGAGCTAAGGAAGCAGTTAGATTACCTGTTAGAGAAAAAATTCATCCGACCAAGCTCGTCACCATTCGCCGCACCGATACTGTTCAGGCCGAAGAAAGACGGGGGTTTTCGCATGTGTATCGACTACAGAGCACTGAACAGGGTAACCATTAAATCGCGATACCCCATTCCCCGCGCTGACGAACTGATCGACCAATTGCGAACAGCACGGGTGTTTTCGAAAATAGACTTACGGGGGGGTTACCATCAAATTCGAGTCGAACCATCGGACTGCGCCAAGACAGCATTTAGGACTAGATACGGGTCGTTCGAGTACACAGTGATGCCCTTCGGGCTGACCAACGCACCGGCGACTTTTCAGATGACCATGATGTCAGAGTTATATGACATAGCTACTGTAGGCTATAGTGGGGTAGCACATATGGGGTACAGTTGCCTAGGGTTTGCCTTTTTGTACCCAACTTTCACTTAGTCATTTCATTCCTGTTTTCTTGATTCACATGGTATAGAGCGGGTTCCTACATGGGACCGTTCCTTCCTAAGGGCCCACCATAAGAAAAAAAATTTTTAGCTGCCCGCGCACATTGCGCCCTGCCCTAAATTTTTTTTTTTTAGCGGCCCCTACGCTGCCCCTACGCGGCCCCTACGCCGCCTCTCACGCGCCCCCTATGCGGCCCCTGGCGACGCCCTGACGAGGCCCCTGCCGGCGCCCTATCGCGGCCCCTGACGCGCCCCCTGGTGGCGCCCTGACGCGGCCCTGACGCGGCCTGACGCGGCCCCTGGCGGCGCCCTGACGCGGCCCCTGCCGCGGCCCTGACGCGGCCCTGCCGCGGCCCCTGACGCGGCCCTGACGCGGCCTGCCGCGGCCCCTGCCGCG